GGGAGACAAGTGTCCCTACAAATTGGTATCAAAGAAAATAGATCGTGAGTGCCTACAAAGACACCCCCGCACAATTCAGTTTTTAATCAACCTTTTAACTTAAAATATACATGTTTTTATTTAGTGCCTGAGTACCAGGGGGAGCCAGATGAAATCTCTACTCAGAAGTGTAAGGAAGCTGCACTACAGGTACTCTGCCTTTATTATTCATTTCAAACGTTATTTTTGACATGAAATATTACAGTTGTAAAATACATAAACAAATCAGAATTCTAAATGTTTAGCATTTGATAGTGAGTTGAATTTCAAAACATTTACAAAATCTACAATGTTTTAATCTATTTTAGCTCATTTTTGTATAATATTTGTGGTGCAAAAAGGAATAATGTGTAATTTTGTTTGCTTATGCTTTTCACCTGCAGATCGATGGGCCTGTCATAGTGGAGGACACCTGTCTGTGTTTTAATGCTTTAGGAGGGTTACCTGGGCCATATATGTTAGTAGACATATATATTTCTTTAACATTCCAATTATTTTTATTTGACTTTTCTGTAACTAAACAATAACAGTCAAAATTATGTTGTTTTTTGTTGTTGTAGAAAGTGGTTCCTTGATAAACTTAAACCAGAGGGTAATATTGTCAAGATGTCTTGTTATTACAAAGATCTTTAGACCTGAAGAAAAAAAGAGTAATAATGATAACTTTTTTTACAATATATTTAAGGCTTGTATAAGCTTCTGGCTGGGTTTGAGGATAAATCAGCATGGGCTCTGTGTACCTTTGCATTCTGTGCTGGAAAGGATGAACCTGTGCAACTGTTTAGAGGGAAAACAGAGGTCAGAATCAGTCTTGCTGTATTTTTTAGCCCAGTCCATGTTTACTTGTCGTTCATTCGTACTCTCTCTTTGTATTTTAGGGGCACATTGTTGAACCTCGGGGACCACGAGACTTTGGATGGGATCCTTGTTTCCAGCCAAACGGATATGACAAAACGTCAGTATAGACTGTTTTCCTCACCATGCCACTAGGTGGTGCCAGAGGTTAAATGCTCGTTTTAGGCAGATCTATTGGGTTCTGTTTTGTGTTTCATCAGAAAAACCTCACCCTTCTCTGTTTTGTTATCAATACTGTATCTCCGTTGTGTCATTTTCGTCCTGAAACCAAACTTTCTGTTTCCTTTTCCCCTGCAGCTATGCTGAGCTGCCCAAAGACGTCAAGAATTCAATCTCCCACCGCTACCGGGCTCTGGCTGTTATGTCTGAGCACTTCTGTGAAACCAACAATTTTTCAGTACAGAGTAAAAGGAAGAAGCAGGAAGAATGACCTGATCTGAAATCGTCAGAATATTTCCTGTAACATTTGTTATCAAGAGATTTAAGTGAATGATTTGTCTCCTAGTGCGAAAAGATCATGCACTGTTTTCATGTATTTTTAATAAACCCATTGTTCATGTGGTTTGACATCTTGACTTTCTCTATTATTCACACTGCATCTGTTACGCACATTTTTCCCAATACAAATATGTTCAAATTTTCATTACAAATGTTCAGAGACATTCTTTGACATTCTTCAGTCTAAATGTTCTCAAAATAGACCGGTGAAGGAGGTACAATTTAACAAGATGTGCTCCAGGGTACTGACGAGAGGAGCAGACAACTCTGTGGCCAAGACTGGCTCCTGTATCTGGCAAAAAGAGCAAACAGTTGTTTAGGCCCGAGGCCAAGAGTAAAAAAAAAAAAAAAACTGGGAGGAAAATATCTGCGAAGAAAGATTTGTTCAGTGCAGTGATAACAGCGAAGCTTGGGTAATAAATGACCCTGGAGCTGGAAATCTCTGAGCAGGAACTATGCATACACCTGATGCTGACTGATGTTTTCCAGATGTTTCTAAGAGACAAATACGCACATCCTGCAAGTAAGGAGCTAAAACAAACGCCTAACAGTTTAAAGGTGTTCTCTTATTAAATGCAGATTATTCTCATAATGGAGTATGGTTATAACACTTTTTATCGCTCTTCATTTTTATCATTCTTCATGATTACCTTTCCTTGTGTGCTTGGTCATTAGGGTTTCCTAAAGGAATTCTCAGAAAGAAAAAAAGCTGTTAAAAGGAGGAAGGATGCATTTGTCTTCATCAGCGAGATGTCACTTTAGCTGTCACCCAGACTGTTTTTAGCAGAAAATGGAAGACATATGTCAGACATTTGGTCATTAGGGATTACATATGTTACTATGGAGGTATGTTCGGTTTTACAATAAGAAGAGACTGTGTTATTTGTGTGGCTGTAGTTTTAAATTCCTTTCATTGCAAAGATTTAGAATGGCAGCCCAAAAGAAGCAAGAAGCTGAAAGAACATGCTGTTCACCCCTTGTTGTCAACAGGAAACCTTTTTTCTGTCTTTTCTATCTAGATAAGGAAATACATTTTCTTCATAATTTGATTTCCTCAGGTAGTATTACAGTAAGAGAATCTTTTTCAAATTTAAAATTTAAATCAGAATTGTTCTAACTTGATCTTTAAAAAAACATGTAACAGGTGAGTTCTCCCTTAACACCAAGCACAAATACGGATTTGACAGCAGACAGTGTTGCGGTGCTCGGTAACGCTGCACTCCTGCCTGTGTGCGTTCTTCTCTAAAACTTCTTATCTCATCCCAAGACAGGATGTTGGGAGACTTTATTTTGAATTAGTCTGTTTATACCAGATATTGTTGTGAAGTTGTAGAGGTGATAGTATTATATGATATGATTTTAGTCACAGAGATTTGGTTTGGGAGACAGACTTAAGGATAAACTATTTGTCTTTGATTTCCACACGTCGCAAATATAAAAGACAAATTTGCATTCCATGATCATAGCACTTCATAAATTGTACATTAAAATCAATTTGTTCTAACAATTTTTCCAGAATTTATACTGAGTGGCTCCACCATGAGACCACATGGAGTTAATGATGAAAACATTTGACCAAACAGATATTTCTGAAACGACTCATCCTCTCAGTTTTCAGTGTTTATGACCACAGTACTGAAGGCAGAGTTTGTGAGGATAAAAACACATGAGGCTGGTGGTAGAATTTTGTAATAAAATAAAAGAAGAAAGGCACAAGTGAGGAAATGTGTGGAAGGATAAGTATGCAAAGAATGTGGTGGGATACAGAAGTCTGCATGTCTGGGATTATTGGTCTCACATCTGCATTTTTCTCAGGTACGGTATGTTGTAAAATTCCAAAAACACAAATCATTTTTCTGATTGAAAGATCACATGTTATGTCAGTACACAATTGACACATAATTCAAAGTTAGACATTGCAAATTGTACTGAAATCCCAGAAATCAGAGCATAATCAGAGAGCCATTCATATTTAAAGTCTATAGGAAATAAGAATACTTGTCACTCAGTCACAAAATTTCTTTCCCACTCTTGATGCACATTGTCAACTTCAGCAGACTGTTCTGAACTTGACTATGAAGTTAATTGCTGAATCTAACAAAGTAACTGTAAGGTGTGTGTACAATCCTAGTAGATATTTTTGCAGCAAATGTCAGTATTTAAGCAGTTGGTCTACCCAAACAGTTCAGGATTGTGCAACGTCAGAGTTTTTAAAAGTAGCTTAAAGTCCTGCACTGTCCATGGCACCCCATGTGTTACCACAGAGGCTGCACTGCTGCTGTCAGGACTAATGATCTGTGGGTCATTGAAGGTCACCAGGATTTCTGTTGTGAACTGTGGCAGACGAAACAAACCCAGATGAATAGTCACTGTGTTCCTCGCCTGCTCATTGAATTTGGAAACACACTGTGTTCCACTCAGCATCCAGGCTGAGCTGCACTCTGACAGGGAAATCTCTGTTGGAGGCAAAGCAACAACATTGGAAACAGCAAAAGTACCGGGTTCCAGAGCTTTGTTACTGTCAGCGATGTCCTCAAAGTGGTACAGGGCAGAGTCCTGGTCCGACACCTGAGCTTGAAACTCCACCAGCTCCACAATAAGGCTCTGATCGGTGTGTGCATGAGCAAACACCTCCTGGTTGTCGGGGATCTCCCTCAAGTCACTGACATCTGTGGCGCTGTGAGGGATAACAGCTGACAGCGCTCCTCCAAATAATGGACGAGGCTGCTCAGCGCTGTTGCAGGAGGTCTGCATCTGTGTGAAACAAACTGCAGTGAGCAGAAGCCCAGGTTTAAACGTCTTTGGCTAAAGAAACAATGACTATTTAGGCAGGAGAACGTATAAACATCAGACTTAAACAACAAACGTATTAAACTAGTTAATATATTTGAGGCTATACACACTATTACGAGTGTTTGACAGACCTCTCCACGTTGTTTATGTGCTCACGTTCCACGACTTCTTCTTCTTCTTCTTCTTTTGCTAGCTTCAGTGGGAACTTCCGGCTTTCGCTCTTCTTCGTTCTACGCTTTCACGTAAATTATAATTCAAAAATGTACTCTACTACCACCTGCTGCCCAGGAATGTTCTTCTCTTTCCTCCACACAGGGATTAGCCAAAATTAGGTTTAAAGTCTAGATTATAAACTACACCGGGACCTATGTCCGTTTCTTCAATTATATTATTTACAAAGTTTTTTAGTAGTTAGAGTATTTTAGGTGTGTTAGGATTATCTGTACAAAAGAAAGAAAAAAAGAAAAAAAAAAACATATGTAATTTACAAGGGGCATATTTGCTTGTTATGTAAATTATTATGAACACCAACATAATGATAAAAATATCTTGTTTCATCCAAAAAAATAAATTGTAATATAAGTTCACCTAAATCAAACTTTTTTTTTCTTTTAAAAAAGCATGTATTCAGCAGGCACAAAGCAAATTGTGCTGCACATTGTACGCTGTATGATTGTGTATGTAACTAATCCTGAAAAGAAGACAGAATGCAGAATTGGATGTTATCACATAATAAGCCAAATAAAGCTCCTTAATTGGATCCTTAATTGTCCTTAGGGATTTCATCAGTTAGTAAAAAGAGGGTTTGTTCATATGTACATATGGACCATTCACAAGTAGTAGAAACCTAATTGAATACATTCAAAAGTGGAAATGTCCAGTGTAGCTGCTTTACAGCTGTTTTCTTACAGTGTAATTAATGTTTGTTATAAATCCGCGTGTTACAGATGTAAATTTGAGTTTTTCCTCAATAAATAATCACAATCAACAGTGATGTTAAAATATCCCCCGACTCTGTCGAACATCTGCATTGGTCTCTCCCTCCTCCAGATGTTGGGGCTTATCTCTTGTCAGCTGATTCGCACTGACACACAGCTAGCATCCAGGATGACAGTTCTGTTACTGCCTGTGGACAATGTTTAAAATGAAGTAAAATTGTCAGTGATACACGGTTCAAACAAACGCGAACCTCGATCAATCACAGTCTCACGGCGTTTCATTTTCTACGACATCGAGCATTTGATTCTGCGTGAAAGCAGCAGGTAACAATTCATTTTAGCATCCTTAGCTTAGCCTCTCTGCTTGCATTAGCACGTAGTTAGCTCTGTTCTCGTTTGTCATTGTCTGTTTGATAACCACTTTATCAGCAAGAAACCGTTTTAATTGTAATAGAGAACGACGTGTATAACTGTGTATAATGAGCAGCAAAAATGCTCGGACAGTAGCTACAATTGAACTGCAGCTGTTTTAGCTCGCTTAGCTAAGCCAAGATAAGCTCAGATGAGCTCATATTCATAT